CAGATTTTAGACTAATTTTTTTTAAATATGCTTGTAAGATTTTCTGTTAAATAAATGTGATGTTTGTATCGTGTATCTTTGTAGACGCGTACCATTGGAAGCAGACTAAACATTGTTATTGTTGCTGAAGGAGCTATTGACAAACATGGAAATATAATTACCACAGAGTATGTCAAAAATGTAAGTTTTCAATGAGTTAGTCAAAATGAGGTAATTCACTTTCATTTCTTATATCATTATATTAGTTATATAGAAGATTATCAATGTATTTAAAATACCAAAATTATTTCAGGTGTATCTTGCTTACATACTGATTAGGGATATGGTTGAACTTAAAGATTGTGACAGTTGAATCACGTGCATGATCACAAATACCAGCAACTTTCAAACAAATTTGTCAAAAACTAGTAATGTGCCCTAGGTTCTTTTCATCCTCCAAAAAAAATGTTTTTTAGAAAAAGGCTTGTTTAATTTATCATATTTCATTTTGAGGGTAACGAGCAAACACAATTTAATTTTTGTATTTGCTCAATGACAGAGATGTGTCAAAATACTGTATTTCCTTAGATACTCTAAAATCTGTATTAGAAGCTGCAGCTTCTAATAAAATGGTAAAATGCAACAGAGGGGATGCGGCTTCTATTAGAGCGTCTACACATATGAGAAATGATGAATTTTTGGTTCTCAATCATTCAAAAAGAATTTGTGCTGCTTCTATTAGGGATGCAGCTTCTAATACAGATTTTACGGTAGTAGTAGTAGTACATAATGTTTACATAAGTGACAGAGATGTGTTTATAATCAAAATAAGTAATATTTTTAGGAACCAGTATTCACAGTTAAATGCGTTTTTATTCAAGATGCACTTCTAATAGATCAAATATGATAGTACAAAATGTAGTTTTGTTCCATGTACGCATGTGTAATTTTTAGTCACCAGTACTTGCTGTAGAACATCAGAAATAATAATATAAGCATTGTACATTTTTTGCAATGAGAATTACTGTTGATAATCACATAAAAATATATGTATTATGTGACTCTTATTCTACTCTCTATACATTTGTAATTATAGTTGTTGGTGACTCGTATCAGCCATGACACTCGTATCACAGTGTTGGGTCATGTTCAAAGAGGTGGTAGTCCATCAGCATTTGACAGAATTCTGGTAAGAATTTACAACATTGAAATCCTGCTTGTGTGTGTGTCCCTGTATGCAACCTGACATGTATCTTGGACCGATTACCGGTACATTCAAACTTCAGACATACACAATACATATACACATCAATTTGTTCTGCGATCTGATTCAAGATGGCTGAACGTCGTCCATTTTTGTGTTAAAAATCTTCAAAAGTCAAGCATTTCTTGCATTTCGGAACTGAATCACAGTTGTTTATGGATAGAATTTGTTCAAACTTGGTACATACATTAGACATTATAGGTCCCCGATTCCTGTCATTTTGTTTTTCAGATCAAATTCAAAATGGCTGTCCACCAATCATTTTGTTTTAATGAATGTGATTCTGGAGCCACATCTGACGTGTTTTGACTAATCATATTTTAAATTTTATATATTCATTATACATCATGTCATAGATAGACAGAAGTACAAAAAATGTATTGGTCTGATTCAAAATGGCCGAATTGTGGCCATTTTGTTTTTAATTAATGCTGTTCATTCTCCAGCATCAGCTTCTGGATTCATAGCTCAGACATGTTTATGTTCAAACTATATTACTATAAACAAAACTGTTTACTGTAAAATACTTTATTTTAGCATGGAATTTATTTTCACTGATTTTTGACAAGTTGAATGTAAAATATAAGGAAAAAAGGTATATTCTCTGGATTTTATTTTCACTGAATTATTCCTTCAGCGAAAATAGCGAAAAATTAATTCCAAGTGAAAATAACGTATTTTACAGTATCTTAAATTTGATAACAGGGACTCTGCTATGCATGTCTTGTGGAACTTTTACCCATGGTTGTATGTAAATGTATTAATGTGTGTTTTCTACTAGGCATCACGTATGGGAGCTGAGGCTGTGCTAGCATTACTAGATGCTGAAGGAGAGACTCCTGCATGTGTAGTGTCTCTGGATGGAAACCAAGCAGTTAGAGTACCTCTCATGGAATGCGTTGAAAGGGTAAGTTTATGATAGAATACTGTAAATTGTTTAATTTACACAACTTGAAATTTTCTCGATTTTAGGCTTTCATGGTATTCATCAAGACAAAATTACACAAAAGTCGCTGATACTCAACGTCGTTGCAATACTAAAAATTGTTGCAATTTTTTAGCTCCGCTGTCGACTTTGTTGAGCGGAGCTTATCATATGAGTGATTGTCCGTCGTCGTCGTCCGTGTCAATGTTTTACTTTTTCGACTTCTTCTTGAAAACTACAAGCCTGAATGCTTTGATACTTGGTGTATATGTACCTTGGGTAGACCTCTCTCAGATTTGTTCATTTCATGATGATATCTTCAATTCTCTAATTTTGGTGAATATTTTTGTCATTTTTAGTAAAAAGTGATATTTTCGACTTCTTGTTGAAAACCGCAAGTGCAATTGCTTTGATATTACATATATAGGTACTACATGTGGACCTCTCTCAGATTTGTTCATTTTGTAATGATATCTTTAATTTTCTAATTTTGGTGAATATTTTTGTCATTTTTGGTAAAAAGTGATATTTTCGACTTCTTGTTGAAAACCGCAAGTCCAATTGCTTTGATATTACATATATAGGTACTACATGTGGACCTCTCTCAGATTTGTTCATTTCATAATGATATCTTTAATTCTCTAATTTTGATGAATATTTTTGTAATTTTTGGTAAAAAGTGATATTTTCGACTTCTTGTTGAAAACCGCAAGTCCAATTGCTTTGATATATTATACATATAGGTACTACATGTGGACCTCTCTCAGATTTGTTCATTTTCTAATGATATCTTCTGTTCTTTAATTGCCATGTGCATTGCTAACAGCGGAGCTATCTCAGCCGACAGGCTGCTTGTACTGATTTGCAATACTGTATAACGGGTTTAAATACTAAATGGTAACTTACTGTAAAATATTAATTTTCGCTTGGAATTAATTTTCCGCTATTTTCACTGAAGGAATGAAAATAAAATACAGTGAATATAGCTTTTTACATTCAACTCATTGAAAATATGTATTTAATGTTTTTTTGTTTTTTTTTTGCAAAAGTTAAACAATTACAAACTGTATATATTGTTGGGTTGTAATATTAGTGACACATAGTTATATATTATATGTAGATGCTCTAATAGAATCAGCATCTCTGTCCATTTTATCATTTTAATAGAAGCCATGGCCTTTTGTACATATTTTACAGTAATCAGTTTCTTTGGTTTACAGACTCAAGCAGTTGCAAAAGCCCTGAAAGAAAAAGACTTTGAATTGGCTGCAAAGCTTAGAGGAAGGTGAGTGGAATTTGTAATTGTTCAGTTATATCTTCTTGTATCTCTTCCAAGTTTAAAAAATGGTGTGATTTGGACGATACTCTTTCTGCAATCAGTAGTTAAAGTTAAAAAATAAAAGATATGATGATCGGGCAAGCTTGAAGAATGATTAAAATGGAAAGTGTTGAAATATTTGTTTTTGAGGAACTAGATAATTGTGATTTATGAATTTCAGATCTAAACTATGTCCCCCTTGTCTTAAGATTTTAAAGGATGTCTGCTGTACAGTGTTTTGAGAAATATGAATTTCAGTGCATTTATGGGATCTAAAATTTACTGTGAATCTATTGCCTAGCTATTTCTAATAGTGTTTTAGTTTCACAGGATCCGAAACTTTAACTAGGATTCCTTTGCCTTAAGATTTCAAGTGACATTTTTATGGTACTGATTTTTTTTGACACATTAAATTTTTTTTATCTTCCAATTCAGATCCTTTATGAATAACTTGTACACATACCAAACATTGAGTCATCGTAAACCACCAGATAATGTGTGTTCATCTGATGGAAAAAAGTGTCAGGTAGGTGTCATAAACATAACAACTTGCTTGATTGATCATGTGATAGCTGTGCTCTTGAAAATAAGATCGCTTCACCCCACCTCGCGCCCCTCAGTTTGTTTTGTTCCCTCTTGTGTGGTTTTACCCATTCCCTACTTCCTCAATGCTTTAATACCTATTCACAATTCCACTTTACCCCCTCCCTTTACCTGACTTTAACCTCTTTAATTCTGACTTATTTCTTTATTTTCCTTTTTTTTGATATGTTTATCAGGTGTTATCTGAGGTTTGTAACATCTATCTTGATTCCCTCCATCTAATTAACATTTTTTAATTTGCTATGTAACAAGTAAATTTCTGGGGTTAATCAACTTTCTTTTTCAATATTAAATTTCTATTAGACTAACTGTCACTGAGTAATTCGCAAAGTGATTGTGGTGTTTCTTTTTGTAGCATAGCTTTAATTTTTGGACGAACTAGTATGTTTTGTTTCTAGTTTTCTTCTTTATAATAACAAAAATAATATCTATGTCTACAAAAATGTCCATTTTAATCACTCTGTTTGATGTTGTTTAATTTGTTATTTTGCCATTAAGCTATTTTCAATTTGTTTGTTTCAATAATCCAATTTATTCTATTTGTTTCACTATTGTAGATAGTTGCATATATTTTATTTGACACTATCGTAAATGCATACAGAAACAATTTGAAAGTTACATTTATAGTAATAAAATAAAATAAA